GGGCGGGGGCGCCCGGGTGCGGGGGCGCCCGGGGTGGGGGCGGGGGTGCCGGGGGAGGGGGCGGGGGGCTGCCGGGGGAGGGGGCGGGGGGTGCCGGGGGAGGGGGCGGGGGGCTGCCGGGGGAGGGGGCGGGGGCGCCCGGGTGCGGGGGCGCCCGGGGTGGGGGCGGGGGTGCCGGGGGAGGGGGCGGGTGTCCGGGCCCCCCACCCCCCGCGGAGGGCCCGGGGCCGGGTGACGGCGCTGCCCCGAAGCTCTCGAGCCGCCCGCTTTTTGTCTTGCAGACCGACGAGGGGACTGGAATCTCCCGCGCGCGGCCGCCGCCGCCGGGCGCTACATTGTTGCCGAGCGATGATACTTTGTATCCGCTGGCCGGAGGCCGGAAGGGCGGCGTGGAGGGGGGCGGGGCGGCTGCACGGGAGGGGTGTTTAGGATAAAGCCTTTGCTATTGCAGGAAAACGCAGAAACGTGTGTTTGTGTTCACGACGCGCTTCCTGATGGAAGTGTAACCTTTGGCCCCCGAGCGATGTGGTGGCGGTGCCGAAGACAGGTCGCCAGCTTGGCTTCTGATGGGAAAGCTTTTCAGAAACGCTCAGAAGCGTAGCTGACACGGACAGTCTTAACGGTTTATAAGAACTGAGTGTTGTAGAGCGCACCTCTGTCCACAGCTGCTGAGTCCACGGGGGAAACCTTCGCCCTCAGTGATGTCACGTGGAAGGAGGCGGGAACCACTACCCTGGAGTAGGAGAGGCCCCTTCTGGCTAAAGCCTTTGGCCGGCGTGGGGGAAGGGGCCCCGGGCCAGAGACAGATGAGTCTCGTGGGAGAGGATCAGCTCCGTCCCTCACCTTTATAAAGGGCCTAGTGTAGAAGGGCCAGCCAGGTGTGCCGAGGGCCTAAAGCCAAACCGGACCAGCCTCTAGGGAGTTCGCATCCCAATACACCTTCACAGGTGATGGGTAGAAAGTAGGGAGTGAAAGAGGGCACGAGAGAGACTGCGTAAAGAAGGTGGTACTGAGGTGCCAAGAGATAGGGATTCTGAGGCCAGAGAGGAGAGAAGACATCCCAGGCCTGGAGGGACAGAGAGATGGCCTGAACATGGGTGCGATATGGATGGCAATCCCGGGCAATAGCGGTTATCCAGGTTGGATGGGATTCTGTATGTAGTCATCTAGGTTCTTAAGCTTAGGTGTGGGGAGTGACAGCCCCATACCTTAGGAAGAAAATTTTGGCGGATTGAAGGATTAATTAGGAAGTCTGGGAGAGGCCACACTACATTCTTCTGGGCTTCGTGGGCAGGAGCGACAGAAGCCGTGTCTACGGGTACTGGAAACCTAGGTGGGCCGACTACATGGTAGGGAAGCTGGTTGGACATTCGCTGGAGTTCCTCACCAGGGAGTTACCACCCCCAGGCCCTTTCCCATCTTTTTGTCAGGCATGGCGGATAGAGTAATTTATACTACAGTGACCAGTTATACTGAGTGTGTAGAGCTGCTGGGCTTGGGGGGAATTCCACTTCAGGTGAGGTGTAGGGGTAACTCCAGGCTCGGGTGAGCAGTGGTTAGAACAATCTTCTTTCCCTGTTCTAAGAGGCACGATGAGGGAGAATGGAACTCCTGGATTTAGTGAGTGATAAGTACCTACGGGATCTTGGGCAGATCAGTCACATTTCTCAGTCTTGGCTTATCTGTAGAGAGGGGCTTGGTCTGGGTCAGTGGGTTCAAGAACTCAAGTGAGGAAAAATCGACTTTATTTTCCACTAACCTCTTCACAAATTGTGTGTGTGAGTGTGAGTGTGAGTGAGAGAGAGAGAGAGACAGAGAGAGAAATACACACTTAGACCTCTGAAAAGAGGTAGAGGCTTTATCAGGTTCTCAAAAATGCCTGACCCAAAAAATGATTACCAAGCCTTGCTCTAGATGAACAGTTTAAACTAGAAAACTCTAGGACTTCCCCTTCCAACTGTAAATTTTACAGTAGAATTAGGCAAAAAAAGCCTCAAGTTTATGGCAAACATTATGTACTTACATGGATCCAAGGCAAGATCTTTTGATAATGAAAAATTTTTTCTGCTTTAAGTAGAACTCAGTATTTCCCAGGACGTAGGCTGATTTTTTTTTAAATTAGAAACTTTTCGAAAGATTTCAGTTTAACGATATGTTGCTTGCCTTCTTGCTGGGTAGGGTAAGGACTGGAGGGAGAGAACCCAACATTTAAAAATGCTAAAAATAAGTAATTTTAAAAAGATTTTAGTTTACATTGGGTCTTAGAGGATTAGCAGGAAAATGCTAATAAATTTACATTAAGTGTTTAAGTATCAAGCAGTTTTTTTTTTTTTCTCTAAATAGAATGACTCTCCAAGGACAGAGGTCTCTAAATCTCAGCATTAGATCTTCGTTTACTTTTTCAGGTTGATAACCAGCCCAAGCTCTACCATCTCACCCCAAATCCCATTTTCTGTTTTGAGCTTAACATAGCTGGTCATGCACTATGACTTCCTGGTAATGCAGTTCTCACCGTTTCTTAGTCTTAAACCCAGCCACAGAAAAGAAAATCACTCAAGGCCGTAGGCGTGTGAAAAAATGAAGAAATGTTAGCATCTTTCGACAGATGATTGTTATGGGATGAGAAGAGGGGGAACCAGTGTTTTTTAAATTTGAAAACAATCCCTTTCACAGACTTGTTACCAATAATGGTAATTAAGTCAAAAGAATCAATCTAGTTTCATAGGTTGCTTGAACAGATATCTCATTTGGCATCTGCTCATGTTGAACGATGAAATCACTAACAAATAAACCTCCAATTGTCTTTACTTGTTTAAAGTTTCTGTAAGTTGATTAAGGTTTGGGCATTTGGATTTCTGGGATACTGGGGGCATAAGAATAAAATTCATCGTCTCTTTTGGCCCTCTTCTTAAGATGGTTGAAAAGGGAACCGTTTGGTGACACTTAATGAAATCATGGGAAATTCTTTCTATCCTAGCCACTGTTCTTATTTCAGTCTCCTTTGCAGTTTCTTCTACGATTATTCTGTTCCTTTTATCGTTCTTTACCTCATTCCCCCTACCATCTTCTAGGACATTGTTTAGCTTACAAGTGAGTGCTGACCTCTGTTCTAAACATGCCTGCATTTGGGAAAGAAATGTTATTCCAGTAAACTGGCCCGATGGCAGTAGACTTTCCTCATGACCTTTCTTAACTTCCCTGGAAAGCAGTGCTGGTGCTCCCTGGCCTACTACCTACTCTGATGGCTCATAATGAAGGGGGTGGCTCCCTGTAATAAACAGTACTATATTACTTGGCTGTGATCAGATCAGTTAAGGGTAGCTAGGTGGTGCAGTGGATGGAGCACTGGGCCTCAAGTCAGGGAGACTCATCTTCCTGAATTCAAATCTGGCTTCAGACACTTAACTAGCTGGGTGACCCTGTTTGCTTCAGTTTCCTCATCTGTAAAATGAGCTAAAGAAGGAAATGGCAAAACACTCCAATATCTTTACCAAGAAAACCCCAAATAGGGTCACAAAGAATCTGACATGACTGAAAAACAACTATCAGTTAGGGTCTAGTTGTCCAGCCAGCAATGGACAATTTGAACTGTTTACATTTCCTACAAAAGCAAACCACCTGTGTTAAAAAAAAAAAACAAAAAACAATTCATACATATTAAGAACACAAGTCCACAATTCTAATTTAAAAGTTGTTTACCTTTTAACAATTTTGAACTAGAAGAAAATGATTTCCCAGGAAAATAGAGCATTCTAAAGATGGTTTAAAACATTTTGTTCATTACAAGAATTGTTAAACACGTTACAAAAGTTACCATGAAAACTTCATAATCAAATCAAAACTTATAAAAATAGGCACCCTAGAAGTAAAATCAAAAGTTTAAAATGTGCATGATAAATTAGCAATTAGAAATTCTGCCTGCATATGGAGTGTACATTCAAATATAAAAGGTAATGATATTTTCTAGTTTTCCCATTGCTATGTCATTCAGTAAATGCTGTAAACCAAAGGTTCTGACTAAATGGACAGTACTTAAGGGAGCTGAAGTAGTACCTGAAATAACCTATTGTTGTTTGAGAGCTGGTATACTCGATGCTGATAAAGTGCCAGTACCAAAGACCTTTCAAAGATCTGGAAATCAGGGATGATGTCAAGTTGAAAGCAACAATCCCAGTCTTCTGTGCAGACTCCCCCCCTTCCCCCAAAACACATTAACGAATCTTTTGAAATAGCTCTATTATTGCTGGTGTTACAATTATGCAAACAGCAAAGTTAAATACGTAGTTATTTCAAATAGAATTTTGCAAACTTTACACTGTTTACAAATGTCAGTACTAAAAGCTTTAAAATAGAGCTTTGGATGAAGGATAAAATGCAATTTACTTGGTATGTTCAAGTCTTTCTAAATTGTGTAAGGATATAAACTAACAATCATTCAGGAAGAATTTCAACCCTTTGAGAAATTTTAGAATGATAAATGGAAGACAAACATAAGTCAGGCCAAGATTTGGTTGCCAAGCCAACAGACAAACTTCACAAGTAATTATTTTCCATTCTTACATCAAAGGGTAGCAATTAAATCATTCCATATTTCAGAATGTTCTCAACTTGTATAAGATGCTTACTTTCAAGTGATCAGGAGAAAAAAAGATCTGCCTTGTAAATTTGAAAAAGTATTAAATTTAAAATACGAAAATCTAGGTAATGACAATTTCCCATTTCAATTACTTGCAGGAAGCACATCTTTAGTTAAGTAACTGGATTTTTTTTTTTTAAGTAGGATTTGATAGGCCTCTTGGAGGTTCCTCCCTTATCAGCCGAGGAATCATCCCTGGCCACGTGACCAATCGAAAGGGCAGACCAGATTGTGAATTATACTAGAAATAGTATAATTTATAAAGTACTGGTTATTAACTTGCGAAGGATCTCCTTTATCTTTGGCAAATACTTTAATTCTCCAAATCCAGTCTAGCTAGCCCCTGTTCTTTCCCTTTCGTGGACATTCTGACAAGCCTTCCTCGATTCTTCTTCTCTTAAGGTAACAGGAGAACTAAGATCCTTGACAGCCATTAGAGTGAGAAGCAAGGAGTGTGGGTCGTGGTGAACGGCTGCATTCACAATAGTAGGGGAAGAGTTCCAGGACAGGCCATGGCTTGAGGCTCAGGAGTGCTCAGGTAATACACCAATCCCAGGCTTTGAGACCCTTTGCAAACAAAAGCAGGGATGCTGAGTCACAGATCTTTAGGGTTCGGTTTCATTATGGTTGGTAAAACACAGCCCCCTTCTACCTCCCAAAAAGGCCACGACTTAGTGCAAAAGAACTGGACTTTTTTTTTTAAACTCCAGGCCATTTTATGTCTAATGGAGAATTCCTGTATTTTTTATGCAAAGGCTAGCTGGAAAGAGAAGACGTCTGCTTTAAAACGTCTGCATAAACTAAAAGAACGTTTCAGAACAACACTTTATTAACGCTGAATTCCAATTGACCATCTGAAGAGTATAAATTTTCCAAATTTAAGGACAGACACATCAGTTTGCTGGGTGGCCGGCCAGTTACCAAATGAAGCTTATTCACAACCTCTGGGGAAAGGTTCAGATAGCCATGGGAAGCACTCATTGGTGACTTGTAATAAGGGTCTGGTGCCACTTTCTAGCATTGGTATTAGCTCCCAAAACACAAAATAGAAGCGCCACCTTCAGGCTTCACAGAAAATTATGAGACAACCATTGCAAGGTATAAATGTGTTACAGGCTAATATTGGAGTATTTTTAGCTTACACGACTCATGGCATACCAAACTCATTGGCTCACTGGATCTATGCCGCTGCTGAAGAGGTGTTCTCAACCATGGATTTTCAGTGAAACAAAAACACAACTCCAGGAGGGAGAGATCACTTCCCTTCTATTCCTGACTTTGAACATTTAGTGTCAAAATCACTCACGATTCAGGCTTTTCTCCCTCCTCAATGCTATCAAAGGATAAAATTTACATGTTAACTCTATTTAAGACACTCGAAGGTATCATAGGCAGTAGACTATCACAGAAGTCGAAAAACAAACAGGACTACGGGTGAAACCTCTGGCTGTTTACCCATGAAAAGTGCTTCCTCATAAGCAAATACTGCTCAGACTAGCCCTGCCACGCTCCAGAAACATGGCAGCACTGATCAGGTGTATGGAACTGCCGGTGAGTCGCATACACATAGAGCCAACTACCCTGAAGGTTACTGGCTGGCGTCTGCAGCAGCGTCTGAGGCCCGCGTGCACAGTGCACCCCCAGGAGTCCCACAAATGCCGTGGACACAGCCGACATCCACGAGGAAGAAGAGACGCAAAGGGACACGGAGCACCCAGGTTCCCCCCAAATCCCACCGGCTGACTGATGGCTTCCTGCTTCTCCTGAGCGGACTGAGAAGCGCCCGCCCGCTGCCCTCAGGAGTTTCTCTGAAAGTGCGGCTCCCGCGGCAGGCCGGGTCTATACGTCGGCTGGCTCCAGATGGTCATGGAACACGGCTTTCAGCCTCGTTTCAGTCTGGGACAGAGGCTTGTTTCCATGCATGTCACTGCTCTCTGGAAAATACAGCTTGGGTCTCTGGCAGTACTTCAACCTGTACGTATCAGTCATACAGCTGTCCACAGAAAAGTAGGTGGTCAGGGAAACTATCCCCTGTGGCTGTGGCACGCTGGGCCACGGCTCTGTCTGGGCAGCGCCTTTACTAGCCGCATCCAGGGGGCTCTGGCAGTCAGTGGAAGGGCTGGTTCGGGTGCTGGGTGTGTACGCGCCAAGTTCTTTCCCTCGGCCTGCTTCCTTCAGCCTTGTCTCTGCCCCCGCCTGGGAAGGGGCGCTGATGGCATGCTTCTGGAGGCTCGGAGGCCTCGCTTTCCCCCTCCCTGAGAGCTCCAGCTCAGGGCTGAACTCCTTCTCTGACCGTGACACCGCCATGGCTTTCGCATACTTCTTTGGAGGCAATGGAGGTGGCAGATTCTGGCAGGCGGCAGGTTCGAGCACCCCCCCGTTATCGGAGGGGCTGGCGGCAGCCTGCTTAGCGGAGCTGCGGAGCTCCCCCAGACTTTGCTGGGCAAAGGACTCACCCATTTTCACGTGTGTCGACCACTGGGACAAAGGGAGTTTCTCGCTGTCAACTAACTCTGCCGAGGCAGAATGATCAGGGACATGAAAGGGGACGGATCCCCTAGCACTGAGCAAAGATGGACTGTTTTTTTCAGACCTTTCTGAATTAAGCCTTTCAGGAAAATGGCATTCATTTGAATTTTCAAGCTGCTTTTCATTTGGTTGGGGGATGTGTTCTCTTGTATCATGGTCCTTGAATAGCTGGAGATTCGATGAGGACAAAAATTTCTCGCTGGTATCATGCACATGAGATCTAAAAAATAAAGGAGGAAATATTAAATATGGGTGAAGGAAAAACCACTTGCAGACACGCATTACAGATTTCTTTGAGCGGTAACCCATGTCTGTTTTCTAAGACACCATTCACTTAAAATTCCTCACATCACAGTGAAGACACAACGTGCAACGTTTCTGAGTATTTCTGATGAGCCCAAAGAAAGGCTGTCTAACTGTCTTAATAAAGATCCCTGGACGACCTTAGACCAGGAGAAGGGAGGGCATCGGTGGCCTCAGAGATCCAGTCCAGCTCTCACTCTGCAGAAGAGGAAACCGCCCTAGAGGGACTCTTAACAATTTCCCATTATTACCCAAGTCAGCCTCCTGACCCAGAAATGTCCTAATCAATGAAAACAAACTATTTGCAAGTCAGAATTTTCTTTGGGGCTCAACTCTGGCCTATAAAGGAAATGACAACCAAGCCCCACCCCGAGGGCAGCCTGGTGTGGTGGGTAGAGCTCTGGGCCCACATCCATCCTGGCTGAGTGGCTCTGGCCACTTAACCTGTCAGCCCTGGCAACTCTCTGTCTTGAGCTGCACAGGATGGGGCAGCCCTCTCTACCAGGAATGAAATGAGGAAATCGTGAATCTTCAGCGCTGGGGGCCTACAGCTAAATAAACAACCCAGTGTCTGAAGAGGTCAATCTTTATATAAGCAAATATTAAAACAAACATAACATCATTAAGGGAAAAGGTGAATCAATATGTCCTTGAGAAGCACCTACTATGTGCCAGGCATTGTGCTGGGGATACCACAGAAGGACAAAGACCAAAAGAAGCCCGCATCAGAAAGAGCTGGAGTCCCAATGTGTGTGTTTGCTTTGGGGTTCCCCCCATGAGCACGTAAGGCTCAATGGGTACTTCCCATCTACAAATGATACGGACCTAGATCTCTTGGGTGATACTTCTTGCTCTTAAAAAAAAAAAAAAAACCAAAAGCACTGTCTTCCCACCAAAAGGTGGGGATCAGAACACTGCATAGCCATCTACTGTTAGGAAAACATTAAAAGGCATTTATAAAGAACTGTATTCAATGCAAGATTAAAGAAGGAATTTCAACAATGCAGTCATTTAGGATTTATTTCTTAGTGTCTCTACCATTATTACCTCTTCATTAAAGGATTATCTACTTGTAGATGGAAATCAGGGGGTCCACAAGCCACTTCTGAAATCTTGATGTTTTCTTTCAAATCTAAAATAAAAACAAAACCCCACCAAATGTTTAAAATTATTCCTCACAGAATTTACTCCATTTTTTTCCTTCTCTAAGAGGAGGACTTTCACTTTCACAGGGAGCCTCCACAAGGCACTACAGGATCTCATCTGCCACTGAGAGGCAGCATGGTGCTGGGCAGAGGACCAGCCAGGCAAGGAGAGCCCCGATTCAAAATGTACTTGGCCACGGGCACGATCACCAAGGTCTTCTGTACCTCAGTTTTCTCGGCCGAAAAACAAGGATCATTTGTAGCACCTCCCTAAGACGGCTGTGAGGAGACTCGCGTGAAATTTGTACAAAATGATTTCTAAATCTTTAAGTGCCTTACAAATGTCCACCATTCCCACCACCAGATCTCTTTGGAGTCTCCGGTCTGGCCTCTGAGCTGCCGCTGAGGCCAAAGCACACGACAAAAGACTCCCACAGACTGCACATCCAACAAGTAAGGAAAGGTGGCCAGGGAGAGGAAGCGTCCCCCTTGGGCTCGGCTCCCACTGTGAGCATGTTTCCTGGTCTCCAGCTTACACTGGCCTCTTTGCAAACTGTACCGGGGTCTGCTCTTTTATCTTAGCCCTTCACATACTTGAACACAGCTAGCATGTCTCTCCCATTCTTCTCTTCTGTAGGCTAAATGTGTCCAGTTTTTTGTTTTGCTTTTTGCTAAGGCAATTGGGGTTAAGTGACTTGCCCAGGGTCACGCAGCTAGTGAGTGTCAAGTGTCTGAGGCCCTCCGGATTTGAACTCGGGTCCTCCTGACTCCAAGTCCAGAGCTCTATCCACTGCGCCACTCAGCTGCCCCTTATGTCCAGTTCTTTCAGTCCATCCTCAGGGAACATCACCTCAAGGCCCTTCCTGGTGGCCCTCCTCTGCATGGACTCTAGTTTATCGACGGCCTTCTTAAGCTATGGTGCCCAGAACCAAACACAGTCCTCAGATACGCTCTGAAGAGGGCACAGGACAGTAGAACTTTCCCTTCCTGTTCCTAATGCGCCCAAGACATCATTAGCTTTTGTTTGGCCACCACATCAAACTGCTGACTCCTAGGGAAGGTGCAGTCTACCACAACCCATGTGTGCCCACCCCAAATCACCTACTCAGGAAGGTGGTAAAGACTTTGATTCCCCTGGAATTACATGAGATTCAGTCTGACACTAGATGGAGCCTGTCAGCCTGTGTCTCAGAGACAGGAGACAGAACTGTGCCTGGGGGTGAGCCGAACATTACTGATTCTCACAGCATGCTTATTAACAAGCGACCACATGAAGCATTAATGTTCAGAATACAACAGGGAGACTTCTCTTTCTAGTAACAAAATATCCTTTTTACATGTTTCCTGAAATTAAATGTTAAAGCCCCCAAACCGACATTTTAAGCAAACATTCTTGCCTGAAATACCTGTGCCACAGCCCTGCCAGCTGGCGGTGCCTGGGGCCTCCAAACCCTTGGGCCTGCCTCTGACTTCCCCAGGCTCTCCTGAAGGCTGAGCCCAGGCCCTGCCTTTGAGAAGGCCTTTCCAGCCAGCATCCTCCCCCTTCCCTCATGGCTGTCCTCATTTTGAGCCCCATTTACCCCTCAATGCAGTGGAGCTGCCCCTGCCCACACTCCCCCAGGAGTGGATCTTCGGACTGGACTTGGATAGGAGGAAGTTAAGGAATGCTCACTGAACCGCACTGAGAACTCTTCAGTGTATGTGATCTGCAGCTGGACGGAACCTGAGAGAGAACCGCCACAAGAGGGAGCAGAGGCGCAGGCCACCAAAGGGACTCACTCAGTGGCACAACCATGGAGTTAGGATTTGAGGTACCGAATGCATTTGGAGGGGGGCCCGATTATCCCACCTGGGCTCAGGCAGCCTGTGCTCAGTTGTGAGGCGGCCAGCACACAGACCAGCGAGCTGTAGCTCCAACCAAGGGGTCCCAGCTTCCACACGGCCGACCAGCTCCTGGGGGTGGGGGTGCTCCCTCCAAACGCTGCACGCATACTTGAGAAACTGATGCCTCTGTGTCTGACACTACATTTATTTCTTACCTACATTCTCCCTCTCCTCTACCCAGTGACCCACCCTTGAAATGGAAACTTGAAAAGCAAAACAAAAAGAATGTTTCATCCAGACAACACCGGTGAAATCCAACGTCGGCCCACATCTGCAGCCCTCAACCCCCGCGAGGAAGGGCAGCATGTCTGTGGGATCAGGCCTAGATCCTCATGGCTGTGCAGCAAATACTGAACGTTCTTAAGGGCAATGCCCCAGAAAGCTCGGCTGAGCTGTGGTACCTCCATCTGCCGAGTCCGTCCGGTGTTTGAAGGGAATCCGGTAATTGGAGTTTAGAGCCTAAACATTAGGTCAGACAACTGGATTTTAAGGCCAGGGTTCACTTTTGACAAATGTTTTTCAAAAATTGGATCTTACCATCTCAAATACCATACATTTAAAGAAACTTTTCTTTTTGAAAGAATTTCCTACCACCTTCAAAGAGTTATAGCAGGAAAAGGGCAGTAGGGTGGGAGGGAGAAATGTGAGAGGATGCAGGGAGGAAGGGAAGAAGAGAGACGGAAAGGAGGGAGGGAGGATTTTAGTGTCTACAGGCCCAGCACTCTCTCCACTGGGGCTCCCCCTAGCGGCCTCTCGAGGCATAGCAACACTATAAAAAGCCTCTTTATCAGTCTCATGAGTGCATTTTCCTGTTCACTGAAGTTTATCCTTTTAAATATTACATTTTAAAAAAATTTTACCATCCTGATGGAACTGTCTACTATAGCAGACACTGCCTTGCTTTAAGAATACAATAATATTCATCAGTCATAAAAAGGCACTCCCATAACCCTTCTTTTCAGTGAAAAATTTCATTACCAAATGCAGCAAAAAAAAAATACACGGGTGTGTGTGTGTGTGTGTGTGTGTGTGTATGTGTGTGTGTGTGTGTGTGTGTGTGTCTGCCTACATAAAAGGAAGAGGTAATGGCGTAGAAATGCAATTAAATACTAAGAAATCATCTGTCAAACGAAACCAAACATGCCTTTGCATAGTCAGAGAATCCCAAAGGGCCTGTTCATGGGACAAGACGGGCAAGACTGAGGGAAGCACCTGCTACTGAGACAGGGCAGGTAAAGAGGACAAAGGGCCGGGCTCCGCGACCTGTAACAGCTCACAGGAACAGGCCGTTAGTGAGTAACCACAGTGACTCCTCAAAGGAGAAGGGGAAGAGGGATCACCAAAGGAATGAACAGGAAGGGCGCGAAGTCCGAATCTGGAAGAGCTAGGGCCCAGACGCGGCAGCGCCCTCTTCTGCCACACCTCGGCGCCCACCCCACTCCCTGCCCTTCCCCGCTGGCGGATCCCTCAGCCATAGAGGTCATCCCCATTCCAGGGTAATCAGGCCACTAGCAAGGGTCGATGACTGCACTGGTGTTCTGAGGAAGAGGCCTAGGGAGGGTCCCCTGTCCCTTGAACTAGGCTTCCCTAGGTGGGGACAAACAAGCAGGACAGTTATTCTCATGCACCTCTCTCAGGCATGCAGCTGTCACGTGACTCATGCTTTAGCTTGGTTTTAAAGGGATTACACAAAATTCTCCTGAGAGCTACTAGCAAAAAGGGCAAAGGACCACAGACACACGTCCCTTCCAGGAAGTATGATGGGCAGGAAGACATCAAGCGTCTCTTCGCCATGGCCAAGGGCCCATCAAAAAGGCTAGGGTTACCGGGAAGAATGAAGCTACGACTGTCCAAAAAATCAACTAAAATCCTCTTTGTTTCTTGGGCCTAGGCAAGCTGCCTCTGTTCCAGCCAGCTTTCCAGACCTTCCCTGCAAACGCTTCCATGCTCCCATAGCTGGGGACTTGCTGGCCCATTCCCCTAAGGCTCCCTGTGCTGTCACTATAAAACCCAAGGCCCTGCCTGGGGAACTGGTCCCCTGTCCTCACTGCAATCCTCACCCACTTGTGTGTTGGCCCCGAGGGTTATGCAGAAACTGCAGGGGCAGGTTTCAGCTCCATGTATGAAGGAAATAAGAAACAATGAAAGCTCCCCACGGTGCTCTCGGCAGGCCATCCCAGAAGACTGACTTCCAGCGAAGGTCAGCTGCTTCCTGTCCAAGCACAAAGGCTATCCTCGGTCTGCTGCCCATTCTACTGGCTCTCAGAGGGCCACAGCAACCATCAGAAAAGGACAGGACTTGGGAGGCAGAATGAGAAGCAGGAGTGGAGGAAGAGGACCTAAAAGGCCAGTCTCTGCTGCCATGGCTCAGTGACCTCTGCTCTCCTCAGGAGCGGCACACCTTCCACCCCTATCTGCCGGGCCGGTCACTCCAATCGCCTCATGGACATCTCACACTGAATGTCACACTGGCTTCTCAAACTCAACGTGGCCAAAACAAAGATCATAAAAATGGGAAAAGGACCCACATGCACAAAAATATTCATAGCAGCTTTTTTTGTGGTGGCAAAGAATTGGAAATTGAGGGGATGCCCATCCATTGGGGAATGGCTGAACAAGTTGTGGTATATGAATGTAATGGAATACTATTGTGCCATAAGGAATGATGAGCAGGCGGACTTCAGAAAAACCTGGAAAGACTTGTATGGACTGATGCTGAGTGAAGTGAGCAGAACCAGGAGAACGTTGTACACAATACAGCCACGGTGTGTGATGTCTAACATTGATAGACTCAGCCCTTCTCAGCAATGCCAGGCCCTCAGTGCCTCTTGTCTGGACTGCTGGCCCTGCCTTCTGTCTGATCTCTGGGCCTCGAGCCTCTCCACTCTAAGCCATCCTCCATTCAGCTGCAAGGGGGTTTTCCTAAAGTGTAGCTCTGACATGTCATCCCCCTGTTCAAGGAGCTGCACTGTAACCTCCAAGATGAAATAGAAACTACTGAAGTTCTTCATAACCTGGGAGTAACAGTCTTCTGACACTTTATTGCCACAAACTCCAAACTTCAGCCAAGCCAGCCTGTCTCCAATTTTTTGAACACACTAAG